GTGTGTGTGTGTGTGTGTGTGTGTGTGTGTGTGTGTGTGTGTGTGTGTGTGCATTGCACTTTTAGCTGCTGAGCTTCGCTGTCAGGGAGCGTTAGATGTAATTGCTGCTGAAGACAGTGGAAACGAGGCTTTCACACCCCTAAACTGCCAGCCTGCTCGGCCTCTGTTAAACTGTTCTCACTCACCTTTCAGCTACGGTTTCCACACAAATAGCGATGAGTTTTTTGTCATCCGTGTTCAAACATTGTGTTTTACTGAGGATTCAAGAAAAAACATCGAGAGAGAAATGGAAACAATTTCTGACTGGGGAAGTCTGTAGATGTGTAATGAAGTGACCTTTTCCTATAAGACCCAGAATAAAACGTACAGCTTTAGGCCTTGTTGGCTTTATTTGTTGTCTAATAAAATTGTATTTGCTTTTATCAGACTGTATTTATCTGCTTTGACAATCAGTGACTAAATTTATTTCAAACTAATTTTGGTTGTGGCTCTAAATCTGAATGTGTTTGGTTTTGTAATGTTAAAAACACATATTTGTAAATATAATTTTTGATTTCAGGAAATAATTCTTAGACTAAGACAAGCAAATAACATAATTTAACACAGTTAATTATTCATGTTTGATTAAAGGGAGATTTAAAAGAAACTTGAATAATGATATGAAACAAACAAAATAAAGTGAAATTTTGAAGATTTTTTTGTTGTTGTTTAAAATAACAGAATGAAGCACTGCTCATAAATATTTTGATATCTTCAATCCACAAAGTACTTTTTATGGAAGCAGAGGACAACAGAACCTCTTGAGATAACGTCAGAAAAATATGTTTCAAAACGTGCTCTATCAGCGTCGGTAGTTTTTCATATCTCGTAAAAACTTTTTTTTACAATAATGATAAAAACAAACAAAAATCAATGCTTTTAGTACTAATCATTTAAAGAGCCAGAGAAAATTTTCTGCACAAAACCTAATTTGTTAATTTTAAGAACCAGATATTTTTAATCTTGACAKATTAAACTTGAAACCTGAGAAGAGKTTTACAGTCTTTCTACTACAACTGCAGAGTTAATGCCACCAACTGCAGCGTTAAAAACACATGAATCAGCTCAACTTTTACTTGATAAAATGGCAGATTAATGCTTTTTTGGGTGAAGTCTAAAATTGCCAAGAGGTCCGTGTAGGATTGTTGTTTCGAATGCATCACTGAAGGACAAAAGGGAGGAGGCCACATGGGAAAGACATAAGGATGGAAAGGGGGCGGGGGGGGGGCGGTGTAGCTGTGAAACACTGGTACCTAATCTCATTACAGCAATTGTCTATAGAAGAGAATTAAAGTGGATCTGCGGGAATTATTCATGTTGGGATTGTACGTAATGAGCTCTATGTAATCCTCCGCTTGCAATCAAAGGCTGCCAGAGAGCAGCAGCCAGTAAACACATGTAGGAATAAACACACACACACACACACACACACACACACACACACTGCTCCTCTTATGGCTTTTAAAGAGCGCTGCCATTAAAAGCCATAGACGAGCCTGACAGCCATCGCTTTGAAATGAGGCGGCTGCAATTGGGTGTTAACAGCGAGCAAAGTGCCAAATTACACAGAGTGGGGGGATTAACGCAGCACCGGACAGATAAATGAACAGCAGAGCGACAGAGAAGGAGAGGCAGGAAGAGGCAGCGATAGGAGGAAGAGAAGCAGACTGTCAGAGTGAGAAGAGGTGCTCAGAAATGAACGAGAAGCGAGTGGGGGGATTTGGCTTAGAGCAAAAAAAAAAAAAAGGCCTGTAGATTAACGTTAAAGAAAAACGCAAGAAAGTGCTGCAGGGGCTTACAGAAACAGGAAAATCTGTAGCGCCCTCCTGTGGACAAAACAAACACTGCAGCAAATGGTGAAGCAGAGCAGTGATGGAAGTGATAAACAGTCTGTTTACATTAGATGAGTTTAACATGTGGAGGAATCAAACCTTCAATCTGCTTTAAGCAGCTGTTTACGACAGGAGAAGTGTGTACGACTCACTCTGTGTGTCCCTGGAAGACATTGACTGAGTGGATAGACGGGTCTCTGAAGTCCCACAGTCTAAAGGTGGTGTCTCTGGAGGAAGTGACCACCAGTCGCTGGGTGGGGTGGGTACAGCAGTGGGTCAGCTCCTGGTCATGGCCTGCACACACACACAGGATGTAAATAATTTAAGTGGATTWAAAAAAGGACAATGTATATGTGAGAAAGGCTTTTATTCTCTGGACCAAAGATGATTAAAATGTCTGCATTGAGAGAAAGTGGAACTAGGGCTGGGCAATTTTATCTTTTGTGCAATTAATCTCCAGAAAAACTGTCTTCAGTAAAGGTGGTTTTACTGATGGGTCATTCTCAGCCTTCCATTTTAATCTATTAGAAATAAGAAGTTAGTTTGACTGATGGTGTGTAGTATTTTAGGGGAGGGCTATTCATATTCAACTGGCGGCCCGCRAGTGACCAAAGTCTGGCCCACCAATTGGTTCATTTCAGCTCTTCAGCCCAAACCTCCAGTTTTCTACTTTAATTCCTATAAGTTCTTTTAGTTAAACAGACATGTTTGATATCTACAGAAACGTCAGAATCTTGGCTACAAGCTGGTAAAAATCATTTCAATGAACACCCAAGACAGTTAAAACTACAAGCAGTTGAAAATAAAACTATGAAAGTGAAAATAAAATTGGTTTAAAAATTTGGCAAGTCAGAGATGTCAAAATAATATTTGTGGTAAATAAGAGGCATAATGTGTTATTTTAGTTGTTTTATTATCACTACTTTAATTACAGAGGGCTCTGTTACGTTGTATTCATGATTAAATACTGGAAAATAAACTATTTCACAGGTAACAGAGCTTTGTAATACTTGGTTTAATTACATATCGACTTTTTGTTTTTTTGAAGACTATTTTTACAGTAAATTATTTCTTTAAGAGAAAAGGGGCAGATTTAAGATTTATTTTCTTCTGCTACCTTTCATTTATAATTTGTATTTTAATTGTATATAGAATTTGTTTTTTGTTTTTTTAATAAAAATGAATGAATAAAATAACTAAAGTAATTGCTGGATGTTCGGCCCCTCAGCTGTTGGCCTGCACTAACTGTGGCCCCCACAGCAATTTATTTGAAAAGCCCTGTTTAAAGGCAACTGATTTAGAGCCAAAAGCCTGCAGTGTAATAGTCATCTATTAATAGTCATATTAATCATTATTAGCTAAATGCTGTGATTAATAGTGGTAATGTTTTTTTGGCTAATATGACCCACAGCTCAATGTTGAAAGCACTTCTAGAGATTAATCAATACTGGATTATCTTTGACCACTTTCATATGTTGCCTCAACTGTGAAAAAAACCCTCAAAAGTCACAACTGCTTCAGAAACTTAAAAGATTAAAACATCAGAAAGGAAAACTACTCGTCACATAATCCACCAGCCGGTTCACGAACCAGTCAGCGTGTGAACCAGTTCAGACGTTTCCACTTCGTACAGATTAGCAGCTCGATCCCAGGAAGCGGTYACCACTTGTCGACCTCCCACCAACCAGTCGGCAGCGATTACCACACCCTGGTGACTCTTCAGGGTTGCTGTGGCCACTCGAACTGTTGGGACCTCGGAGGGGCCGTCTCCGTCCGCCTCGCCCTCCTCCCGGTCCGACGAGTCCTGGTCCTCGTCGCACGAGGCCTGTGGTRAGACAGAAGCAGCTGCTTTTATTTTGAAGAATGACTTGTCAGGAACTCGTTCCGCCAGTGTTGAGAAAYGGTTTTCATCTCTTGCAGAAACCCTGATGAACTACTTACACTGACATCTGGTGGTGGCTGGGGGGCTGGAAGCTGCACCATGTAGCGCCAGATGTGAGCCGTCTGGTCGCCGGAGCCTGCGGGAAATGTGGAAATACACAACAAACACACACACACACAGCTGAAGAGAGCAGCTGCAACACAAAAAGCCTGAAACAATCAAACCTGTTGACACATCTGATAGAATAAATATCATCAGCTCAAGCATCCTTACCTGTGAGAGCCATCTGCTCGCTGGGGTGAAATTTGATGGAGTTGACTGCAGCAAAGAAAAACAATATCAAGTTTTGTAAAATATTCATGCGATCCAATAAGCGTGAGAGCAAATGTTCAAATTGACGCCTGCGGCTTAAAAGAAGTCAACACAATTCAAAATGGCCGTCACAGCCAACTGACCTTAGGAGACACAAAAATGGATTTATTTTAGATACATTTACAGATATTGAAGAAACACGATGAAAGTCCACACTGGTCTGAGAACAGATCTCAATATCGCCTGAGATTGCACAAAACATTTAAAACTTTGACCGGAACAGATCTAACTCCGCCCCCTCTGTTCAGAAGATAATGCTAGTTTTAAATGCTAGGTTTTTGTCAGGAATAAAGTTAAAAAGGAAAAGGTTTTCTTATTATTTCATGCTAACATCAACATCACAAAGAACTGCAACAAACCATTCCTTATCAAATTTCATGTTATTAATTTTAGCTCTGCATGTCAGTAACTGGCCCTGATGCCCACAGCTCATTGAGATGTCTGAGGTGCTAACACAGTGGTGGCCGGTCCTCGAGGGCCACTATCTCGCTTTAGTTGCTTCTCTGCTCTTCAGCAGGTCTGTAGGTTCTGTAAAAGCCTGCTCATCCTTCATTCTAATCAGGTGTTTCAAAGCTTTAAAAGGAAGTTTCTCCTAGATAAAGGTGTTGTTTTAACCAGAGAAACATCTAAATTTTAGATTTTTTTTAGATTGTGCAGATCATTTCCAGACCTATAAATGTTTAATTTAAACAGAAAGAGATAATGCTGCAGATATTATTTTTTTAAACTATGTTGTAAATAAACAGTGTTTATTACCTGATCCTGCATGGCCAGCGTACCTCAGCAAACATCTTCCAGTTTCTATACTCCACAGCAGAGCGGAGTGATCTGTTAGAGAACACATCATGTTCAAACTCTCTTCATAATCACACAGTGTGCAAATGTGAGACAGGTTAGGAGAAAAAAAAGTTTAGTCTTTTCCTCCAAAAGCTGTGACAATGCTTCCTGAGAATAAAGTCAACTAGAACATTTCAGATTATTTTTAGGGTGCCAATAGATGTACTGACTGAATTTTTTAACATGCATCAATATTTTATTTTCTAACGAACATCAATAATTCTGTACTCACTTCTGTAACAATCTTAATTGACAAAATTCCAATGTTTAGAYGTATGACTAGAAAGTGAAGCGTAACGAGAAGTGAAATCTACAGAAATGTTAAAGCTGCTGCCAGAGGCTGACAAAAGTCACCAGAGCAACCACAGAGTCTGTCACTTCCTGACAACAAAACTGTATACAGTTTAATAAAAACAGACAGAAATGTAGAGCAGAGATTAAACCTCACAGAAACATCACTGTGTTGGAAGACGTTTGACTTTAGTAAGAATGAATTTCACTGATAAGAAAAGTAAACTGCTCACAATAACTGTGAAATATAAAAGTACTTTTACACACTTTTAACCAAACTGGTTCCACTAAACCGAGTTGAGTATATTGAACAATTTACATATTGTCTTTTAAAAAAAATTTGTAAATTGCTTTACATTACTCAACTCGGCTTAGTGGAACCAGGTGACATAACTTGGTTACGTAAATTCAGTTTTTATAGTCATTTTCTCCTTTGCAGTGAGAAGCTTGCAGGTCTCAGTAGGAAAAAACAAAACAAACAAACAAAAAACAGCAAGTTTAAATGCAAAAGGAGTCCAGCGATTTGTTGGACTTATGAAACCCACAGCTGGGGGTCCCCGGAGCCATCAATCAAAACCAGTCAGTCCACCTTTTCAGAAGATGGCAAATAACATTTTTGTCACGACCTCGCACGGAGGTAAGGACAGATGAGGGCGTCTCTACTCCTACTTTATGAGCATTTCATAAAACTCAAAACTGCTTTTGTGTAAATCTCATTAAAAGTTATCAAAATGCCAGCTCAGTTTAAAGTTCAACTTCCTGTAACCTGGCTCAGCAATGAATGTGCAGTATGTCTGAAAAATTAACCTCTATAAAAGCTGGGTTTTCTCAATTTGTTTTGCCAAAATCCAATTGTTGTCTATGGGGACCTCCTTTTAGCTCATTTTATCTACGTCATTCATTTTACCAAAGGTTATAGCTTATTATTCCAGACTGAGTTAAAACACTTTGATGAGTTTCGTGCATGTTTTTTTTCCAAAGCTGCAGGAGTATCAAACCAAAGAGACAGACATGGAAGAACAACTGGCGAAATGTAAAACAGAAGCCTTAATTCCTAATCATCATTTCCCTAAACAAATATTTGCACTAACCCTTGTCTGCAGCAGATGCCTCTTAATCTTAATAATGAGGTTCTCATTTATTGCATTTTGCACCAAAAACAGCATTCGCATTAATTTGACAGTGATATATTTGTGTAAACACTGCCTGCGGAACATTTAGTGATTTTTCCATTTGAACCACCTGTGTGTGTGTGTGTGTGTGTGTGTGTGTGTGTGTGTGTGTGTGTGTACACAATAAAAACATTAGGTTTATTAGGGCTATATAAAATCATATGGTGTACCAGCAGAGGCAGTGCCAAGCACCACTGGCTGTGTTCGGGTCACACTGAGATCCCAGATCCCATCCCGGTGGCCCACGTACTCCTTTAGCAGCTGGCACAAAGCCCGGGAGCCGGTGGTGGCTTTGAAACTGGACACAATCTGCAGAAGAAGAGATGAGAGTGAGACAGTTTGAAAAGAAATCAAGCAATGACGGAGTTCAGATCTTGAGTTCTGGAATACCAAACTGTGCACAATGAGGCTTTAAACTCCTAGCAGCAAACACGCCAGTTAAAAATTTTGAAAACGGCACCTATAAACTCACATTTTTATGCAAGAACTCTGCAAGTTACCCTGCAGACACAACTCTGTTATTAAAAGGAATAATAAAAATGTTTCAGATTTAACTTAATTACAAGATGTTGCTTTCCGCAGCTCAGAATCTCAAATAAAAAAACAGTTTGGTATGTCAGATACGTTTTGTAAAATCAGATTAGTGGGTTAGCTGTCTTGTTGTGGTGCAGGTCAGGTTTACTCTTATCTTTTTCTGCAGCACATCTGAAACACCTCCACAGCAGGTTAACTACATATCTGATCAAAACCTGAAGGCAGACCAAAATCCTCCTGGAAAGAATTCCTGCAGGATCCTGGCAGGATGTAACACTGACAATATTTTTATTTTCTGTAATCGTTTCTGAACAATTACAGCATGTAGCAGACAACTTACTACAAGCTAGCAGTAATTCAATCATTGCTGCAAATGAATTGTGCACCCTACTATGAACTCAACATTCCAGTATCGTCATGAATGCTTGAGTTTTTTTCCCTTAACATACGTTTTACTTCCCGTTTTGGCTGCAGAAAAAAAAAATCGTATTAATTAGTATAAAACTTTTTAGTTTTCAATAATGTCTTTATAATGTTAGAATTACACACCATTCTGGGACATTAAGGTTTCTTTCGTTCCAGACAGTGCTGACAGTTTGTATCTTATATATTTTACTCTCTCTTTTTTTATATACTTAATAATCTCTGTTCATGTAAAGCAAACCTGCCTGTCTGAACTGAAACACATTCCCAAATTAGAGAGCTGGAAAACACAGCTGTCTTTCTGTATACACAGCCATACACCAAGTGATCAAAACATGAAATTTTTCTGATGTTAGTTCATCCTGTGATTCCTGCAAACACGTCTAAAACATGCAACCAAACATGAYTGCATTATTTTTCATTTTCAAAGCCAGCACTGCAGGCAGGTAAGTTCAGCACCTGAAGATTCTTTTCCTCCTCAGTCTCTTTGACTTTGTATTGTTTTGTTTAAAAAAAAGAGCAAGAAACACAAATGCTGCTTGAAAAAAGGTGGACTTTGTAGACTTGAGTTGCTTTAAAATCTGATTGAAATTCTCTGCACTTCATGTTAGGAAACACTAACACCACCCTGTGTCAACACAGAACTTGGATTTTGGACTTGTTGCTGAAAACAGTCTAGATGCTTTTTCTTGTCTTTTGTCTCCTCAAAAAGTAAATTTATCCATCTTTTGCTTATCTGTGGTCGGGTCACAGAGGTAACAGGTCCAGAAGACAAACTCAGGCCAGCGACACTTTCCAGCTCCTMCTGTTGGATCCTGAGGGCTCCTTAAACCGTTGAGTACTTATAATCTATCAAACTAGTACTGTGGTTTCCTTCAAGGGAACCAAGGGCAAATATCTGAAGCACGTTGGCTGACACTTTCGCTGTGGAGGGGCAACGACTACACTCTGAACTCTGCCTGATCGATGAGGATCCTCACCTCTTAGGATGAGCTGATGAAGGAAGCTCATTGCAGCCGCTTATATCAGGATCACGTTTTATCCGTCATGACTCATATCTCATGGTTGTAGAAGAGAAATGGAATGCAGACAGACACATAAATCAAGATCTTTATCTTGATTTACCAAGATAATTATTATCTAATTAATATTAGATAATTATTTATCTCCAACAAACTGGAGTAACACCCTCACGGCTACCTCCGAGGGTCACTCTTGAACTTTGAGCTCCACTACGTGAGCCAAAGACTGATCCTCGACACAGAGGGAGCGCTGACACTTTTCCTGGGTTTTTGATATATGCAGCCAGAGTCATATTAATAACAAAGCGTGTGCAAGCATTGTTTGTATATTTTTCAAAAACTGTGTGAGGAAGATGATCGTCACTGTGCTCAAATAAGTGTGCTGCATCTCTAAAAATATCATGTGGTCAGGTTACGTGTGACCCTCAGAGCTGCAGGCTTCCACGTGAACAAACTCAAAACTAAAGAGTTGTTTCAGTCTCCGCACCGTCCAACACAGCCCAGGTCATTGGTTGGTATTAAATGCAGTAACTGTGTTAATACACACACATTACACAACAATCCAACCCCACTTGCTTAGAACACAGTGAGATAYAAGCAACAAAAACACCACAGCCCAGTGCCAATTCTTAGTTTCTGTCTACACCACATTAAATTAGCTCCTGATGTGTTAGACAAAGCTACATCTGACAGCTGGTTAATCTACAAGTTTCTCCCTTGATCAAGTGACTTCTTTCTTTTATCTGTCAGAGCCGAAACGTGTTTTGTTTGTTATCTACTTTAAGATCTGTCTAAATTTACACCATTTTTTCTTCTACAAAGAGTGTCCAACGTCAAAAAGTATTTTATATAATTGACTGAAAGCYAACAGAGAGGAAAGAAAAAGAAATTAAAACCTGTTTGACTTTTTTGTTGTGCATACAACATTTAAAGKATTACTTTAAACTTTTCTAAAGAGATGCCCTGATGCATCTCAATAATCCAGGTAGAAAACAAATATTAAAAAAAAGAGTTGAGTAGGTCCTCTGGAGGAGTTATTTGTTGAAAACGCTTTGTCTYATCTCCAAGAGACTTCTGCCAGCCATCGGGTGAATATGAAGACCTTAGACCAGTGGTCACTCAGTATGTTGTGTGAGTTTCAGAGAAACTGAGATGTTTATTCTCTAAACATGACACCCCAGTGGCTTTCAAACCCCAAAACACATTACGGCAGAGGCTGGTTCTCCACAAAGATCCAGTCCCCCAGCACAAACTGAGTAATATTGTGTATGCAGTTCAGTACCAGGTGGACCGATCAGTTATATGTCAGGGAAACAAAGTGGCCACTGTTCAAAAGAATGGGCCAACACAGAAGAGCTACATCATCAGGACGGGACTCTGCAGTTTACACTCATCTACAGGCCGACAGTCACTCTTTCAGGGATGAAGATGTTCTCATCCTTGATTTGGGATGGGTACCTTTGACATTTGAATCGATTCACTACCAATATCCAGTACCTGGGAATTGGTACCGGTACTTAACAGTACCAGTTTTCGGTACTATGTGTGTGTGTTGTTTCTTTTAATAATAATCTTTATTTTTTTACATATTTCTCAATATATAGAATTTAACAAATATCAAGACAACATCCATCTCTTTTGTATTGTAACATCAGTTGTGTAACTAATTTCTTTAAAGTGAAAATTGTTGAAAACAACAAGACTGTTTTGTCTTATTGCACAAATTAAAATCCAGCTCCACGTGTTTCTATTGATGTTATTTCCCCGCTAGGAAAAACTGTGTGATGGAGGTCCATGGAAGGCAAATATGTTAAATCAAATAAGCAAAAGAGGATGGAGTTAAATAAATAAAAAGGTATTCAAGCTACATTTTGAGCATCCAAAACGCTCCAACACTTCAAGCTGGCTGCTTGTGCTCTTTAGGTCAGACGTGTTCAGTGTGTCAGGAAGCACCTCTGTTGTTTTCCTCTGCCGGTCTGTGTTTAATGGCGGATGAAATAAAGTAAGTGTTGGTATTTTATTTACTTTGAGCAAGCAAACATCGTGCTCACAAGATAATTAATCCAGATAATTCAGAGGCGGTCTATTCAGTGAGTTCTCCAGGTGCTGCGAGGCTTTCAAGCTATTTTCAGACTGAACTCTGTTTACTGAACCAGCAGCTGCYGACATCATTACGCTCTTACGTGATGCTGCATTCAGGACAAACATGGAAAATCTCCCACTCTTACGCCAATACGGTCGCAATGATGCGTTTAGGTACCGTTTGATGTTACGTGAACAGGTTCTTGGTAGTACCGACAATTCGGTCGGTACTTAAAAAAGTATTGAATTAGGTACCCATCCCTATCCTTGATAGAGAGGAATGTTTGTTTGAGAGAGGGGTAAACAAAGCCTACTCAACAATTTTTTTGATTTTCTAAAGGGAATAAAATGATTTGYATTAGACAGAAATATTTATACTACTTAAGTGTCAAGTCATGTYAACATAGTTTRGTCATTTCTGAAGTGATGTTTTGTCTAATTGTTATAAGCCGTGACATCAGTCATCGAGCATGGAGCATGAAGAAAAGAGCAGAAGTCTTCCTCCAGGCTAAGTTAAYGACCAATAAATAAAGCTGCCCATCATTTTTCAGGCTTATAAAACAACTCTGTAAATATACTGGTGTGAACTAACACTATTTCAGCTTATTTTAAACCCAGTTTAAATCAAGTATCCCTGTCCTGTAATAATGAAGAGTTTTTAACTTTGTCTGGGTTCAGTTTTAACAAGATGCTTAAACCATTTATGAAAAGACTATAAAAGTTTTATCTTTGAGTGAAGGTGTAACAATTAAAGTTAATAAAACACTTTGCTTTGCAACAAATGCAGCCGACCAACTTTTCTCCGTTTACTTGCAGAGAAAATATGAGTCGTCATGGTGAGAATGCAGTTAATACACTCTGACAGCAGGTAACCTTCAGTGACTTTTAGTGACAAACAGAGCATTCAGGAAGTTACCCATGAATCTCCACCCCACAATTCCCAAGCGGCCATATTGAAGTTGCGAGCTCCACCTATTTTGTCCTGGAAAGTGTACAAGCGCTGCTTCAGGAAAAAAAAGGGGGAAGAAAATATTGTGTGAGCATTTTCTCTCTCTCTCTGAACTATATTAAAAAGGTAAAACAAATATTTTTTTACATTATCAAATTCTTTTAGCTTACGTTATGACCTCTGAGAAAGTAAACCAACATGGGGGCTTTTTTAACCCAGACCGAGCTACATTATAACAGCTAAAGTATTTATAGACCAAAAACACCCACATAGGCCAGTTCCACTGAAAAGAGCTAACATGGTGGTGTCGTGTACCTTGCTGGTGGAGGCTTTATAGGTCGTCTTCAGCTTCTGTGACAGCTGACTGGTGCTGTGRCTCGCTGTGGGGGAAATAAAAAACAAAGAATATTAATACACAACGGAGTGACAAACTCTATGGTTGGTTTCACGCCTACAGTGGAAAACAACAACAAAAAAAGACAAACTTATATGGTACAGAGCCTTGCTGTGTGTTTCTGGTTAAAAGTAAATTTGACCTAACATCTGATAACTTCTAAGAGCCACAGACAGAATAAAAAACCCTGAATGTCTGAGCTACTGTTGATTTTTAATCAGCTGGTTGTACATTTTCAGAGCTGCGTCAGGTGGTACAACAAAATGTGATAATCCTCCTTTTTCCAAACAAGTCGATTAAACAAACCCTCGAGGAGCTGTGAGGCTAAGTTTAACAAACCAACTTAACAGACGAGGCAGGAAATGTTGGACCTTTTGCTTTTAGGGCTCCCTTGGTGGCATCTGCCCCCTCCACCGCCTGTCCGTCTCCTGTCAGACGCTCGTTCAGAGACTCGATTTCCCGACGCACTGCAACGTGAGCAGAGTAACACAGCTGCAGGTGAGCAAACACGGCCGGAGGTCTTTTATACATCAACAACTAAAAGTAATTTTCAGACATTCTGRTGGAAGAGTTCTGTGGAAGAGTAAGAAACAATTAATGAAACCGTACCAACTTTATTTATAAAGCATTTAAACAACCATAGGACCAAAGTGCTGTTCAGTCACAGTCAATAAAACACAATAAAAGCCTAATCCGAAAATTAAAACCATTTAATAAAACAAAAAACACAGAAAACTAATTAAAATAATCTCAAAACAAACTAAAAGTCATCATCTCAGATGGAGCCAAAATCCAAAGAGAAAAAATTAGTTTTRAGTAAAGTTTTAAAAGCTGACAGGGAAGTGGCCTGTCTGATGCCCAAAGGCAGGTTGTTCCACAWTTTATATTTGTTATAGTTTTTATGAATGGCCTCAGATTGGAGAAACAGTTTAATCCCAACAAGACTGATGAGCTAAAGGCTAGWCCGAATGTAGTCAAGGTCTAAAATAAAGGTCAATCTCTAATATTTCAGAGTGGTTTATGCAAACACTAATCTTTACCCCATCATCATTTACATTTCACAGTTTCTATGTAGAAATCTTTGATTAAATGCTAGTGCAAAAAAAAAAAAACCAGCAGCAGCAGCGAGCTGTAGCACTTCCAGTAGGGCCTGGGGACGCTTCCTGCAGGAATAGCTGTGTAAATTAAAACTGACGGCAGTGCAAAGGTTTAAACATTAAATGTTTGTTATCTTTATTTACTCAGGAAGTCCAACTGAGATCACAGACCTCTTTTGTTAAGGAGGCGAGGGCCTGAAAAACCCTGTGGACTGTGAAGATTAGAGCTGCCATTAAAGCTGGTGTSTCTGTGTGCAAACAGCATTTATGAGAGAGTCTCCAGAATATCTCGAGAGCTTCACGTCGTTCTCCATCTCCTCGCAGCAAAGTCATGAATTCCTTTTATGTTCAAAACCTTTGTGCCACAAATTGATCCGCGTTGGAAGTAGGTCGACTGGGACAGTGCTGCTGTGCTAATAATCAGTGCAGACTAGGGCTGTGTATTGGCAAGAATTTGGCGATACGATACATATCATAACAGAGGGGTCACGATACGATATATCCC